AGAAACATAACACAGACGTATGATTGGGTGTATTCAGTATCTGATACATACGCAACCAGACTTCTCATTCTCGGTAAGACTACTCAGCCGGTATATGCACCAGCCTAAGACATCGCATGCTGCAGCTTTAAAACAAGTCCTACGGTATTTAAAAGGTATTACTACATACGGATTTGTATTCAAGCGAGGTGATCAAAGGAAACGTGTAGGATACATCAACAGTGGACACAACATTGATGCAGATGACGGAAGAAGTACCACCGGACACATCTTATATCTGAATGAATGTCTAATCTCGTGGTGCTCACAGAAACAAAAGACCATAGCTCTATCATCTTGCGAAGCAGAGTTTATGGCAGCTACATAAGCAGTCAAACAAGCAATATGGTTACAAGAGTTACTTGAAGAAGTAACCAATAAATCCGTTAAGAAGATAGTCATCTACATCGACAACAAGTCAGCAATAGCTCTTACGAAGAATCCATTTTTAGTGGGCGAAGCAAGCACATACACAAGAGATATCACTTCATTCATGAGTGTGTTGAGAATGAACAAATATAAGTTATACATGTTCCAGAAAACGAGCAAAAAGCAGATATTCTAACCAAGGCGTTTGGAAGAATCAAGTTTAAGGAAATGAGAGAGCTGGTGGCAGTTCAAAAAATTGCAGAAGTTAACTTTAAGCTTAAAGGGGAGAATGCTAGCAATAAGCTTAAAGATAACTTAGGGTCTAAGTTAGAAGAATCCTAATTGAGATAGGATTATGATAATTGGTTTCCTAATGAGTTTAGGAACTATAATCTCTATGTAAGAAGATGCATGTGTTTTGCATAGCTTATGAGTTTTTAGAGATTGATTTGTCAGAGCTTAAGTTTTGAGTTATTTTCTTAAGCAAATAAGAAAGAGTTTTCTTACAATCTCTTGAGTTCATACACTTGAGTTAAAACAATAGTGTCAGGATAAGGTTAGTTTTGCTTCTAGGTTTTTAAATGTTCGAATGAATCAAAACTCATTTTAAGTTTACATAACAATGATAACATGGTGGTTATCCTTCTCATGAAGAATGACATGGATAAATTAATAAAAATGATAACAGTTCATGAACTTAGGAACACTCCAGAAACTATGTTGTTTTGATGTGATAAAGATTGTATTTGGATCTCCTACCAACCATGACTTTTCGCATATGGAAAGCTCCAAAAATTTTCAAGGATTTTCATTTCCTTCGACTTTTTATCATCCAGTTTTAGTTTTGTTCATATTTATTCCAACCAGCGACTCAGAACTTCAGTGTATCTATGGCAAAGAAGAGTGTACCTTTTGAATGTATGATTATGTGGAAAACTATAAGATTGTAAACATTTTTCTAGATTTTTTTTGTTTGTGTTAAACTGTAAATATCATATAAATGAAAGAAATATTTTACAAGAAGATCTTAAATTTGAGTCATCTTGGCAAAAAGAAAATAAAAAATAAGATGGATCACTGATTTTATACCTACGAGAAAGAACACTATCTCAGCCACATCGCTATAATCGAGCGGAAATGCCTACTCAGTTTTCTAGCAGAATTAGTGTTTCTCAACTCCTTATCAATGCCATAAAAAACTGAAGTAGGCTGGATCAAGATCTGATTATGTATCATTGTTCCTTTGCTTCCACAGATGAAAGACAACAGTTTGAGCATGTAACATTTTGCTAGATCTTACATAGTGTAAATTTTTTTTTGTGATTTGAGTACAAAGAACACTTTAATAAGTGTGCAGCTGAAAGGCTAGGGAAAATATTTAAGAACTGATCATGTAGCATAGAAGGGAAAAGATAAAAAGAGATTTTGAAGAATTTTACATGGTGTATAAATTCCAAATAATATTTATACATACGACATGATGTATATATTTCATTCTCATTCAAATCCATTGCAGTAAGATCAACTTAACTATTTCGTTGAATATACTCACTACTTTATCAATACGAACCACTTCAATACTGTTTTTAATTTTAGAAGTGTGTTAAATCTTTGTTCACCTATAAAAATACCTTCATTCATTGGAAAAAGAAGATAGATTCACAATCAAGACTGACATCTAAATTAGATTTTAGAGTAAAAATGTTCCAAAAATACATGTGTTAAATTAAAATATGTGTTGATATTTTGGCTAGTATCTCAAACTCTTGTTATCTTCACTTTTAAGCATTTTGTGATATTACATAGGTTAATAATGAAAAAATTAGTAGGAAAACACACAAAAGTCAAGAGTTGGCTACTCAAACGTGAAAAATAAATTTTAGAAAAGATACATAAAATAAAAAATTCAAATTTAAGTAAGAGATAAAGAAAACACAATATAAATACACAATCCTTTCATAATGCAGAATAATACCTAATATCTATAACATCAATGAAGATATTTGTGGGTTTTGTAGTGGGTTATTGTGTTTTAGTGCCCGTTTTGTGCATTTATGACTTTGGTTTTGAACTTGTTTTACCAAGTCACAAAACTTGTTTCAATTCACAAGTCACTGAAAGAATGTACAAATTTCAGAGTAGAACACAATTGCTCATAATAAATGTCAGCAAACTTAACTTGTTTTTATTCACTTTTCTTCTCTTTTTATCTTTTCTGTGGACATGCAAAATCAATTAATTTATGTCGAGAATACAGTGTGGTTGGGTCTTTGTCACGTTTATGGATACATTTCAACTTAGTGGCTACGATTTGCCCAACATACCACTGAGAAAATTTTAATAACAAAAAGAATCATTACCTATATATAAGTTATAACCAATATTTATCAAAACACAGAATCGTTTTGTAGTCAAACTTACAATAGTCCTTTTGATCTCTAATTGAACACATTATCACATTACGGTACACGTTTTTCAATTTGAAACTTCATTGTTACTAAATGTGGTAAAATAAAACATGGCGCTTGATCCAATAAGCATTTGTTGTCCATTTATATTTTTCACCCACCCTAAAAAAACATTCTTGGACAATATCGATCTCGGAGTCCAGTTTTATTTCTACCATGAGCTGTATAACATGACGAGGGGGTTGACGCAGTAAATTACCCACTGCCAATCAAAAGTTTGGGCTAACCAAGCTGAGAATGTCTTCAGAGTAAAATGACATTGTCCCTTCTTTTCTATGTGTCTTAACCACATACACAGAATAAAACAATCTTGTTAATAAAAACGAAAAAATTTAGATACATACATATTAACATAAGAGCCATATTGATTAATGAAAACAGTTTTGGTTGCAATAGAAATAAGTTGGTTTTTGAGTTTGGCATGATGTGATAATATGATGCAATGTAGAACAGAGAAGAAGACAATACAGTACATAGGCTACATATGCATGGACCAAAACAAAATGCTGGCAGCAAGATGAGATTTACAAGAAATACTATATCACATTGATATATGGCAGTGGTTACAATGTTTATAAAAGACTTTTACTTCAACAGAATCTGTACATATATTGTGTATCCTTAACGTGCAGATAACATTAACCATAAGAAGTCAGACAGAAGCTCATGTGGTTAGTAAGTACAGTCAACCAAAATCATACCTTTGGTGGAGGAATAGCTGAGAAGAACCTTTGGGGAGAGAAATGAGAGTGCACCTTTACAAGGAGTATGATATAAAGGTTCATGTGAGTACAATCAGAAATCAATAACATTTTTTAACAGACAAAAATGTCTATAGATAGATGGAAAAGGGATTTAGGCATACCATCTAAAAAGAACTCAATACACACCAAACATGTATCAAAGATCTTAAGTACAAAATATATGCATATCATCTAAAACGAACTCAATACACACTCACACGAAATGTTTATCTACAACATCAAAAGAGTGATCCATGGAATTTTCTTAGGCATAGAGAGAGAGAGAGAGAGTTATAAAGGCATGACATTTGTTTACTAAATGTTTTCCAGCAACATCAAAAGAATCTAGAAATCCATGGAAATGTCTTAGGCCTTAAGCGAGAGTTACAAATGTATGAATGACTTCTTAAATCCCATGAGCTATATAAATGTATCAATCATGCTCGAGCAAGATTCCTTAGACCCATTTGAAAAAACAGAAGATTCCTTATACCCCAAAAGTTAGGGTTTCTTCGATCAGAGAAGAAAAAAGAGGATCTGGGGAGAAACCCTATAGCGTTAGCCTGTGTGCCCATGAAATAATAGCTTACGAATGATACTCTCTGTGAACGAACATGAAAAGAAGATAGTAATGAGCCTAAGAAAACTCAAGGATGTGCTATACGATATTCCATTAACATCATCAAACGATCAAGATATCCATGGAAGCGTCTTAAGCATTAAGCGAGAGAGAGTTAAGTCTTAAAATTTTGTGTGTTCACCGGATGCATTTGCTAAAAAATTCACATGCGCTTGTTCTCTGGAATATATATATTTTCCTATGTCTTCACCATAATTGGATCTTTCATTGCAATATTTGACGTAAAGTATGACATATATCTCCGACTAAACCTTGATCGTCGGGAAATGGTGAGAAATTCGCATTACCGACAACCTTCCGAGTAATCTGGCTGTCGGAGTATGAACCTTATTCTTGTAGTGATATAAATATCTACTAAAAACAGATATAAATATCTATACATTTGTATGGGACTAAACCCATCTGTTCTTTCACTATACCCTCGATCAGATTGTCATTCTGCATCAACTAAGAGAACATACTGTTGTCTACATATTTATCTTTTGTTTTACTACAATACTACAACTAAATAGGCGTAACTACCGATTCGGAATAACCAAATCGGAGGTATTGAATCAACATATATCATAGCAAAAGGATAACTCCTAACACTGCATACATATAACATCTAATGTTGAACAAAAATTAGATATTGAGTTTAATATGGAAAAATATATCAACTTTTTAAACACAGATTTTGATCCGTGTACGACAAGAGATCTTTTGTAAGGTTATAACAAAGGCAACACAAAATAATGTTCCGTAACCAGTAACGGCCTGATAGAACGAGAAAAAATGTACATCCTTTGGCGTTACAATTAAAATAATCTCGGTTTGGAAGAACCAAACTTGTTTACACTAAACCGGAATAAACGAACACTAACTAATTCGGTTACTGGGTATTAAAATCCAGACCGTGGAAAGGTTACCGTTTTATTTATCAGTAACAAATAAATGAGAGAAGGAGGATCCAGACCATCAGTTTCTAGGTTGCATATGCGTCGGTTAGGAGATGAACCGCTCTGTTTTGTCTCTATTCAGAATAGCCTGCCAGGTAACTCCGGAGAAGACAAAACCGCCACGGATTTGAACTGTAGTAAAAAAAATTATGTAAAGTAAACAAAAATTTACTGAACTGCTAACTTAGGATTTTTTTTACCTTATCTTGCTTATACTTCATGCGTATAGAGGCTAAGGTGGACCCTTTGGTGTTAAGCTGCAGATCTTGCAAGGCGTGAACAGATGCTTTGAGATCAGAGGCTCTGAACGTTGTGTAATGCTCAAGAGTTGGATTCTGGACCCAAAAAATGAAAGAATAAAAACTGTGAGGTTCAAGATTCAAGAATCAAGATATGTCTTAACGAAAACAAAGAGAGAACAAACCCAAGGGTGGCTTGATTGGTTCAGTGTCCACTTAGCAAGGAAAACAGCTGAAGCAGCGATGACCGAAGGAAGAAACTTCAAGAACTCATAGTCTATCAGCGTCAGTTCCATGAGATAGTTCGCCAGAAACTCCATTTCTTGACTTGGTTTGTGCACCTCAGAAGCATGAGCTGCTCGCAGAAACCTCCTGCACGAAAACGGAGACGCTGAACCACTAATAAACTAGAAACAAACACAACATCTGAAGTGTTTTCACTTTTCACTTTCTTGTGAGGTTACCTGAGGAATGTTTTTGAAGTGGGTGTGTAAATCTGAAAGCTAAAATACTTCAGTACTTGACTCTCCATCTCCAAGACCTGATCCTTTGTGTAAGTGTTATCAGTGATGAAGCAGAACTCCTCAATGCGTGGCGCATAGATCTCCTCGTATTTTCTTTAAAACATTTCAAGAAACACCAAACTCACTTTTAGATGTTGCCTTCCTAACCAGTAGCATTGTTTGATTTTGAAGGGGGAAGAGATTATAAACTTACGAAGCAATGAACATACAAGTGACGCCAAGCAGTTGAAGCCTCTGTCTTTCAATGTAGTTTCCATGGAGAAACCAATCTATGAGATACACTGTGAGGTAGAGTGTGTCCGGTACAAGTTTGTATTCCTCTGAGACCTGAAATGTTTTTGTAACAAGATTTTAAATCTTAGCAACGAATATATTAAAACAAGGATGTAAGAGATCACTAACCTCAACAAGCCAGTCAACTAGTATACCTCTCATTGTCTGAGTCAGATCTCTCTGTATCCTTTCCATATAATCAGGGAATGGTCTGCGTTGAAGCTGCCAGGTGTAGACAAGTGTTTAGGAATCAGGTGTCTCAAATGCAACAGTGTATTATATTTTATTACCTCAGCAACACGCAGGTTGTGGTAGATTTCAGGTGCATAGAGGCTACAAAGTAGATGATCTTTGTGATCTGAATCAATATCAATGACTTTCAGAATATTTGCCACAGTGGATACAGCGTCCACTTTCTCTATCTGCTTGATGTTCTCCAACTAAATGTACAGTAACCAGAGTTGTTATAAGAAACATACTATTTGTCATGTTATTTGATATAAACAAGGAATATAAGAAGCAAACAGTATTTTGTGTGTTTTAACAACCTGAACCTTAGGTGAAATCTCATTTGTGATATCCTTAAGAACAGCTCGCTTCTTAGGTGCATTGGCTTTGTTGTCATCCAAGGCTGCTCTCTTTGTGTTTGCTCTAACGGCATGTCCTAGACTCTGTGTTGTACCATCCACTTCTGATGATGTTATCAGTTTAGAGTAAGCACGAGTGAGAGGGCGAGTATGGAGCGGTATGGTGTTGCCAGAAACAACATTCTCCTTCCTCATGATTGAAACTCTTTGAGATGATTCAGTTTCCAACCCCTTCTCAGTACCACATCATCATGACTGGATCTGTGGAAGTTAAAGTCAAAGCAATGGTATGCGAGGATGGTAAAAATAAAGTTTACAACTTAAGACAGAACATAGAGATCAATGCAGAGAAACTAGTACCTATGCAGTTGAAAAGAGATTTGTATACAGCTTGAACAAAGAGGTCTCTCTATATAGAAATTTAAACACGCACATGCTTTGCTTTTAGAAAGAACCAATGTTTTATTTATGTACTTCCAGAAAAACTCGTTGATTAATTTGATGATTCCATGAAATAAGGGAGAAAGAAAAATCTTCCAAAAATCTAACCATATATAGTTTTCTTTCATGGTAAAATAAATATTCCTTAAAGGTTTTATTATTCATCCTTGGATTGATTGAGTATACAAATTAAGAAAATATTTAATATTTAATTTTATTTCTTAACAAAATATATTAATATTAAGTTACTCACCTTATTAAAACAAATTAAAAATACAAGTAATTATAAAATATTAAGCTTAATTAATTTTACACTAGAAATCGAAAACTTCATTTCAATTACAAACGAACAAAAAACTTCGACAACCTTAGTAACAAAAAGGAGGGAATATACAGTTTAACTTATAAAATTGTATTTAGAAACTGTTTAGTCCTAAAAAAATAGTTAATATGATTATTCTTGCAAAAAAACAGAAGTTTATCTAACTATTAAACACAATGATAGTTCGTTATTCAATCAACAGCGTAATTGTCACATAGACCTTTCCTTCTTTGCAAGTACTGCTCCAGGGAAATTGGATCTCCAAACCAGAGAAGTTACATTTAAGTTCCAAAGTTTTAAAATTTTCCAAATTCAGTCAGATTCAAAGGTGAAAATTACAATTTATTTTGATAATTTAAATTTATGTTATTTTTATTTAATTTTGAAAAAAAAAATTCCAAGGAAGAAACAGATCTCTGATTTAGAGCTGCAAGATCTCCAAAAAAATAAATATATAAAGGAAACCGTATGGATCCGTTCGTAAAACAGAAGACAATTTACAAACAATTGCAAATGTTTATCAAGAACCATATCTGAGTGAAGCAAAAGGCTTTTAAACCTAGAGATTTTTTCAAGAAAACCGCATTGGAACATTAAACAATGCATATGCTACATCACATTTCAGAAGAGTCTAAAACCAAGATGATGGAGACAGAGTGCAAAAGAAACTTACTACGCTCCAGAAAATTCTTCAAATAAAAGTTTTAGATAAACTTTTGGAAGAGGAAAAATAAAGGACCTTGGCACAGATCGAGAGAGTAAATGTATAGTCAATTCGCTTCTGTGCAAAGGGACTGTATGTGGAAGAGAGCGGGATAGAGAAAGAGTTTAAAGATAATATTTCTCTTCTTTTCTCTTTGTTATAATTAAATTTTCATTTGTAATACAGACTTTGTTTTAGAAAGAAAATATGTTTGTTTATGTACTTCCAGCGAAACTCGTTTGACTAGTTTGACTCCACGATATAAGGGAGAAACAGATCTAACACATATTGTTATTTTTATGAAATTTCTATCAAGTGTTTTTTTTTTTTTTTTTTGATAATCCAGGGTTCCCCGCTTCGCGGGTCATTCCCTGGGCCCGGTCAGGCAGCGGTCCACTTCACCCGGGAGGGTTGTACCTGGGCCTAGGCCCAGTACCACTTTAGTGACATGGAAGAGGCAGTTCGCCACCGCCTGGTGTCGAACCCGTGAGCATGACAATTGGCCCCCAAGGTCTTTTGCCAGGCGGGCTACCTCATCCCGTCTTCTATCAAGTGTTAGTGGTTAATTTTTTTATTCTCTATGTGACTGAACATAATAACTTTCTCTTTTTACATTTCATAACTAATCATTTACCTTTTCATATTAATCACCTTTGATATCTTATAATTTTAGGTTCCTTATCATTTCTTTCTCCACTGAATTTCTAATAATGAGGATTTATATTGCTGATGTTTTTGGAATTTTCTTATTATTTTTGTTAGTAATTTTTTTACGTAAAAACAGCTAAAGTAGAGTATGTTAGACAAAATAAAGAAGCAAAAGATGGATAGTGGAATCGCTTACGTTTTCCAATGAATGCGCTGTTACTCATTTTTAAACTAAGGTATCACTGTTAGACAGCGTGGCTATTCATCCAGAGGTAGGTAAAAGTGACTATAAAACATAATTTTGTTTAAAGGTAAAAAGACAAGCGATTAAAATAGTGTAGTTTTTTTTTTTTGTAAAAATAGTGTAGTTGGAGTGTTTTATTATTCCTTGACGCTTAAACTTGTTCGAAGACCATGCACATGCTAATTGGTAGTCATTATAGAATCTGTTTAATCCTTTTATTTCGGTTTTGCTTCCTTTCTAAAGCACAGTTCGAGTTTGTCGTGGTCTATGTATACTCCCCTCTGTGTATTTCGGTTAAAAGATAGGTTTCTTTCAAAATTGATCTAAAATTTAAAGTTAAACTAGAGATTGACTCGCACTTCTATGCGAGTGTTAAATTTTATATTTCTTATAAATTCGATATTTATTCTTCATAATTTAAGTTATATATTTTATATAAATCTCTATATAATTAACTGAATATTTTTAAGTCATATACATTAGTACTGAACCCGAATCAAATCGGATATTATAATTACTTTTGATAATTTTTAGTTTGGATTCAAAATACCTGAATCGAATTGGTTAATATAGTTATTTTTGGTACAAATATTCTAACACGTTTCAGATACATTAATTTTTAGAATATGTTAAAATTTCCATACATCAAAACGGAATCCATACGAATTCCATATTCATGAAAGATATTAAATGAAATGATTACAATAAATGAATTGATTATTTAGAAAAAATATTAAATAAAGTGATTAGAATGAACTAAAAATGGAAACAAAATTTGTAAAAGGTAAGTATTTTTTTTGTATTTCTGTTTTAATAGTTTAGATACAAAACTAACATATGTTTTTTTGGAATTTTTATTTGGTCAATTCACCCCCAAAAATTTAGATTATTCACGAAAATACCATTACTTTTTCCTTTTCGAAAATGGTCTTTTTACTCTCTCAACCTCATTCTCTTTAAGTATTTACATGATTGTCATTGCCATCAATAAATCAACCACCATGAACAACCAATTTGAAGCTCTTAATGTTTCTCAAATCGATTTACACTCTTTCTTTCTCAATTATTATGAACTAAAAACAACATCACTTTCTCTCTATATTCATCCAAAAAAAACTCAAAATTTTTATTCTAAATTTTTTACGTTTCATAGAACCATTCAAGCTTACGATTCTTGGTGATGACTTTCGTTTGAGCTTTTGTGTGCTAAAGAAGTTATTTCACTAATTTAAGATATGAAATCAGATTTTTTTTTCAGATTTGTCTGGCTAGACAACTTCCACGTAAGTCTCTTGGCAGTAGAATACTTACACGGAAGTCATCTGGTCAATAGAGAAGTTAGTTTTGCAATTGACTTTTATTTGTGTTTTTAGAGAAGACTTTCATGGAAATCGTCCAGTTTTCTTTCAAAAAAAAATCGAGAATACCAGAGAAAACTTTCGTGTAAGTCATCTATGATAAGTAGGTTATTTTTGCATTTGACCGGATTGTATCAGAAAATTGACTCTTGGAAATCTTTTAGCGCATTGTATTTTAGAAGACTTCCGAGAAAACTTCCCATAAGTCTTCCAAAGTCTGATCCAGATCTGAAAAGCATATGTATCAAACCCAGATTTGAAAAAACTGCATATCAAAAAAACATTCAAATGACTTAAAAACAGAGAAAATGAGTAGACGATTATATATATATATACTTTTATAAAACACACAATGTACATATCCAAGTGGAAGATGAGAACCATTTGATTAAAAGCCTGCAACGAAAATATAGATTAATGAGAAAGACATGAGACAAAAATGAAAAATTCATATAATGTTTGGTCTTTTCAAGTCAAATAGATTAGATGGGTTTGGAGAGTTTTAGTTTGGGAAAAAAGTAAGAACTTTATGCAACATGAGATTACCAAATGAAGAAAAATCAGACATAAAAACTTATCAAAACGCTCAGATCTGTCATGAAAGAAAGAAATAGGAGAAGACTCCGTTAGAAGACGTTATGGAGGTCTTCTAGCACATTATCTTTTAGAAGACTTCCGAGAAGACTTCACAGAAGTTTTCCAAAGTCTGATCCAGATCTGAAAAACCTGCATATCCAAATTCATATATGAAAAAGCTGCATATCTTAAAAAGTTAAATGGCTTAAAAACAGAGAAAGTGAGTGGAAGATTAGATGTACATATCTAAAATTAATAGATCTACGTTTAAATGAGTGGAAGATGAGAACCATGTGATGGAAAACCTGCAAAAACAAGATAAATTAGTGAGAAAGACATGAGACAATAATTATAAATTGATATAAAGTTTGGTGTTTATAAGTCCAAAGAGATTAGAGAGAGGTTAGAGAGTTTTAGAATGAGGATCATTGCATCTTTGTAGCAGCCATTTGAGAGGAGGAGAGAGAATGTGTAAATATATTTTTATATAGAGAGACAAAAATTCCAATAAGATTAAATATTTTTGATTCAGAAGACTTTCAAGTAAGTCTTCTATACTAGGCGACTTACTTGGTGGGAAACTAAAATATTTTTAGCGGGAGTTAGAAAACTTTCAGAGAACTCTTCTAATCGCCAGGCGACTTATATGTTAGTCTTATAGACCCTACACATAACCCCTAAACTAAATTAAGTAACTAAACACTTCATAAAATCAAACTAAATTCAAAAAGTGTTTACTATACACAGAAATAAATACATATAGGTTAAAATTATTTTTTTTTTTAAATTTAAGTTTTCCAAAATATAATCCTAAGAATACATACAATAGTACAATATATATTCTCAAACCCTAAGCCAAAGAATATCATGATTATCTACTTTCACTCATCTATGTTGAAAATTATTCAATTTTATTATATCTTAATTTATATCACTTAAAACTTTTTATAAGTATATGATTTTAATTTTTCACTTGTCAATTTTTTTTTTAAATTGGAGTTATAAATTAATTTTAAGACCAACTACAGTATCTCGAAGATTCAGACGACTTTCTGGGTTATATCTGTAAAAATGAGCTCTATTTTTTTTTGTTTTTGAGCAAAAGGGGCTGACTATAAATTTACAAACTTTTTAGATTAATTTTTCATTTGATTCAAATTTGGATATAGTTTTACATTTAAAATCATATTTTGAGTCATATTTAGAAAATTCCTCTAAGAGATATGTGATGTGATCAAACTTTCTATTTCCCATGTGAATTTCTCATGTAAAACATAACTTATAGTAAACTTTGTCAAGGGTTTTGTAAATCTACATGATGAAATTTTCCCAAAAAAAAATTGACATGATGAAATTCTTATTTGCTCATCATGGGAGATATTTTTCCACGATACACGTTAAAAAAAGTTTGAATAACATCAGTTTTAAATCTATAACTAGATCGTGACCCGTACAACGGTGAAAATTTTCTTTTTATTTATAGTTGATAAAAAATTAATAAATACCAATATATTTATTAATAAAATCTCACAAAATACTAAAGTGCTAGATGTTAAAGTATTATTTTTAAACACACCATGAAAATATAAATTATCATTAACAAATATTTATCTATAGTATTTCTAAACAAATGTTAAAATGTATTGTATGCAAATTGTAGAAACTAAAACTCTATATTAAAGAAGATTATATATTTGATTATTTCATATTATAATTTATGTATCAAACTCAAAATATATTAGTAAGTAATAACAATCAATAAGAATATAAGTTAAAACATATAAAAAAATTATTATATATTAATAATGACGAATAAGAAACTTAAACAACAAAATTATTGAGTTATATAATATATAACATTAAATGTAAATCATATATTTAAATTTTTTATAATACTATCAAAGTTTTATATTTATAAAATGAAAAATTTGTGTGGGTCAAACTCTAGTATATAGTTTTTTATGTAGATTTTAGGATTATATAGTGCTATCTAGATAAATTTTAATTTCTTAAAAAAAAATATGTATTTCAAATAAAAGATAAAGATCTGGGGTTATATCATAACTAAATTATGTAAAATTTGGTAATTGTTTTAATGAATGATCCAAATAAAAAATTATACATGAAATAACTCATGACTTCGTTTTAATAGTATAGATAGATAACTATATAATATATTATTTCTGTATATTTGAAATAGAAATTTAGTATTTGTTTCTAACATAATCTATTTAAATTTTGTAAATAAGTA